CAGAAATCCAGGAGTTGAAAACAGAAGTACAATTAAGGAATATAACTGGAGCAGCTATTAATTGCTATTTTTCAGTATAAAGCTGAAAGCAGGTGATGGTTGGGTTAATGTTAAGGGTCACATGGAACAATGTTTTAATTTTGTTTTTAGGCATAGCTACATTCTTGTGCCATCTATTTATATCATTCTTTGCTACTCAAGTAAAATGCCCAAAGAAACAAACAGTTAAGTTTGTCAGAGAGGCAAGGACGTTCACCAACCCTGTCCACTTAGGCGTTTTCACCTTTTAAAAGATAGTTTCACCGGGAGCAACTGTGAATAATATTCACAAAAGGCACACCTGATCTTTCTGGAAAAGTGCAACATTTCAGTTACATAGAGGTATAGAGAATTTGTCTTACTTGGACTGAGCTTCCACACTATAACATATTATCAATACTCAACCCAAAGCATTAAAATCCACTGCCTTAAAATTAAAAAAAAGAAAGAAAAATATTGTAAAAAGCATAAGAACACAGATATACTTTTGAATAGCAATTTTAAAAATGTTATCACTTTCCCTGAACTGTTTTATGGAATAAAGAGGGATTTCTATGCTTAAAATTAGATTTACAAGCTGCTGTGCAGGAAAATTCTGCTTTGTGGATGCTACTACTGAAGAACCCTCAAAACCTGAACTAGCCTTTATTATTAATATTAATCTCTCCCGGTATCTCTTCTCTACGACACTAAGTTACCTGGTGGCTTGCCCCAGTCAGGGAATCTATAATCCCTAGACACCAGGGGGTAAGTGAGTCAGTAACTCCTGAGAGAGCCATCTGTGATCCATGGGCTGTAGTTGTTGATCCCTTTCTAAACCATCTCAATTTCCTAAACTTTAATAAAGTATATTAAATTAAACCAGTCACAACATGCTTCACAGTCCTTTTGTAGGGAACCATGTCTGTCAAAACAACCTGAGATCATAACAACAGTAAATCATGTCTAAGTTAAGAAAGGAAAATAATTATAAATAAAAAGGGTTATAAAATTTACATAAAAGAAATATACCATGTTGGTTTATACTGCATGCAAAACCAATGAAGTGAAAAAGAAATGTCTGCCTAGAAAATTTTAAAAACTCCACAGAAATGTTTCATGAGGAGTAAAAAAAACTGTTTACAAGGTCTATTTTTAGATTAAATGTTTTATTGTCATGAAATACATGTCCTTTATGACCTGTAAACATCCTTTCAATGAAAGGAATTACCTAATCTCTATGGGTTTCCAGGATATCTTAATGATAACCACCATGGAACAGATATCCACAAGAAAAAGAAACCTTGGTCATTTTATAGCTTTGGATTTACAAGGTATCCATATTTCAGCTTTTGTCTTATATTTATATTTTTCACTGTGTTTTGCTTGGATGTCTGTGCCTCAGTATGAATGTTTTATATTTTGTTATTTTTTACTCATTCTGTTTTAATTTGTTTAAGGTCAGAAAGGGAAAAGGGAATTTTAGGTACTATAGTAACTTTAATTTAAAGCCAGCTCAAAAGCAAAGAAATACATGCTCCAACAGCCTAAAACTATCTGCACGGTTAGTTACAGCAAACATTAGATATAGCAACTTTCCAACCACTTCATTTAATTTGCAAATACAATAATGACCTCTGAAAGGTCCCTTTAGTAACTCCTAAACTTTTAACGTGTCTGACATGTAAATAAGCAGGGATATAAATCTATCCCAGTTTATGATGCAAATACAGGAGTGATTTTGTGAAATAAAGTCTCTTTGGAGTTGAGCCTGATTCCTGCTTTGTTGTGAAAACGTAAAAGTGGTTTGCCACTACCTCCTTTTTAGGATTTGTTTTTCACTTCCCAGTTCTAATCCACGTCCTCCCATCCAAGTACCAATTGGATCTGTTTAGCTTTTTCCAGATTAGCCAAGGTTCTTCCATCTGCTGTGGTAATCTGAGGAATACTTCTGTTGGTTAAAAACGGATATAGTAGAGCAGTGTTTCTCAGCCGTGGCCACTTGAAGAAGTGTGGACTTCAACCCCCAGAATTCCCCAGCTGAAGTCCACACATCTTCAAGTGGCCAAGGTTGAGAAACATTGTAGTAGAGGCTACTGCTAACTATGGCAAGAATAAGTTTTGTGATACGTGCAGGCATTATTTTGGCTCCCTGTCCAGTCACACAGCTTATTTTCATTTTAAAAATGAAAAGCAAATATATTTTATAATGTTAGTTTATGGGAAGAATCAAAACTAATGTGCATTCTCCCTCAGAAATGTATTTGGCAGTAAGAATTTGTGCATTTGTTCCCAATAAACTGTCCCCCAGTATGGACAGTTTTGGAAAACATCAACATCTTTTGGAAACAGTTGTCAGAATAAATTGCTGCAGTTGATTAATTAGGCACACACAGCCAAGAAATGGGAAAAAATACAGGCATCATCATCAGGCATCTCCAATAAACCCAGTTTAAGGATGCACACACCACATTTGCCCTACAGAGGATGCTATTTCAGATAAAGATTGAAATAATCTCAATTCATGTACCTACTTTAGTTTAGGTATTAATATTTCTACTTTGTCTTTCTAACAAACAGGATACTCAAGGAAATAGTGTCCTTGAGAACTATTTTAAATTAAATTATACGTCTGCTAACTTGAGCTAACCTGCTAGTGGAAAAAATGGCAAATGATAGGCAGATTCCCACAGAAGTATTCTTTCAGTATCTTCCTCTCATTATAAATAAGGAATGGTGCCCCTAATTTTGGTCAAGCTTCTGAGAGTGCTGAAAAGAACTGGCTTTCTGTAATAAGTATTAGGACTATGCATATCTTTGAAGGATATCCCTTCTTGTCCTGTCTTCTGAAATAACTCTGAACAATTCTGCCCCATTTTCTTCCTGACAGTCCTTCAAATATTTGAAGACAGCTAACTTCCCAGAGTTTTCTCTTGTTCAGTCTAAACATGCAGAACACCCCCAACCATTCCAGTCAGTAGTAGCAAATACTGCTCTGAATTTAAATCTCATTCAGCTTGTAGTTGAGGGTCATCCACTAAGATGGGCAAGGCTGTTTCAGTCCCCAACAAGAAACTGAGTCTAGAGACAATCTGCTTCAAGTAAAATAATGGGTTGAATTAGGTATGCACTTATAAAGTATTATTATAAATCAGCTGATAGTTGAATGTGATGGGTTTCTTCAGTAATGCTCTTACAATCTTCCTTTTAAAAGAGATGGAATGCAATCATCACTAATCTATTGCCAATTAGCCTAGTAATTTTTTCCAGCCAGAATTTACAAAGGTTCAGCAAAACTTGCTCCATTCCCTATCCCAATTTGCCTACATTTTCAGACTGAACAAAATGAAACTAATCCATCAAACCAAAATTAACTACAATAACCCCTCAGTTACTGCAAATGGGATTTGTTTTAGCAAACAGTTGTTTTTATCAGCAACTTTTGCAGACTTTTGAGAAAGTTCTGTCTTACTGTTTTGAAGCCTAGCACACAACACCTTTACAATTGCTCTGATATTGTGCTGATGCAGTGGTGGCAGAGAACAATTTTTCAGTGTCATCTACTATATAGATCCTAAAATGTAGAGCATGTTTGGTTGTACGCATTCTAAGTTATCTTCTGTTGTCTGTCTAGTTACGCACTTCACTGCTTTATTGCTCTAAGCAACTCAAGAAATCAAGATCTGTGAGAAGAGCATAGAAGCAATTATGTTAACTGTCTAAATCAAATCACCATTTCACAGATGTTCCAGAACTTCTTTTCAGAGTTAGTCCATGGGCGATCATGAACTACTGCACAAACTGAACCAGAAGTATATATATTCCAGTTCCAGGAAGTTGGCAGATGGAATCTAAACTGGTAGAAAACCTCTCCTGTTAGCTAAGGACACTGGTGACAAATCTTCATTCTCTCCCAGTGCAGCAAACAATGAAGAAAGGGTACTAATGAAGGAAGATCCTTTACTTGCTCATTCACTGATAAAAATGCTGCATCCTGTTGTACTGTCTTTTCTTTTACGGCCATGCTAGCCTAGGAAATATATCCTCTAGCACAGGGGTTCTCAAAGTACGGCCCGTGGGCCGGATATGGCCCACCAGGGTCATTTATCCAGCCCGCCCGCCTGATCGGCCGCCGCGCTGTCTGTCAGAAGCGGAAGTGTCGGGGCTGTGCCGGGAGCTGCAGGCAATGCACGAGGAGGGAGATCGCAGAGCTGGACTATTCTACATGACAGGTATGCCGGGTCCGGCAGCTCTCCTCCTCTCATGTTTTTTTCAAACTATAGTCCGGCCCCCCAACGTTCTGAGGGACCGTGAACTGGCCCCCTGTTTAAAAAGTTTGAGGATCCCTGCTATAGCACTATAATTTTCATACAAATTCAGATACAACTAATTTTGAATGGCAAATACACTTCGCCACAGCAGGTAGACTTTATAGATTGTTGCCACTGTATGCAAAGTCTCTATGGCATTGCTGCCATGAAAGGTTAGTAAAAGTGTGACAATCTACACAGCCCACATATGGACAGCATGAAATGTAGAGGTCAATCTTTTATAAATATCAGTATAGCACACTATCCAAAACAGTCATGAAAGAAGCCATAGTTTAAATTCCTTTAGTATTGGATCCACCTAATACTCCTTCTTGCTATGTGTTCACCCACCAAGCCCTCAACACAAATAAAGCTTACCAACCTGCTTTCAAAGCTGTATTTGCTATGAACCTCTACAGGTTATTCCAAACTGATCACTCTTTCTGCACAAATCCTATTTCATGGAATGGCAGTGAAGATAAATAAAATACAAACTGTAAAGGATTTTGAACACCCAGATATACAATAGATTCAGAAAGCAACGCATTTTTCCAATATCCTGAGCATGCATTTAATGTTCAACTAAATTATGTTTTGTATTGCAAAAGGAGGTTTCTTCCCTGTTTTATGAAATTTTTAAAAAATGATTTAAATTATGTAAAGATCACATACCTGTGATTCAGGTTCTACACTGACACGATAAGCTTGCGCTTTTCCATCTTCTAAAGTATTAGGTGACCAAACCTTGCCTTCAGCCCTGCAATGGAAAATTAAAAATTACATGTACAATATGAATTGTTAGTAAACTTGAATATAACTTTTATACATTTCCAAGAATCCAGAAGCCTGGAAGAATCAGGGACATCACTTAATTATTTTCTTCTTTCATATTATATTCTTTCCACATGGATATGTAAACATTCATTCAATTTATACGGCCATCCATTTCAAATTCATGACTCTGGGCAGGTAACAACAGTTCAAAACACCATAAAACACCTAATAATAAAAAAAAACAAATATAGCAGCTGAGGTGGAAAACAAAACAGCCATCAGCAAATCAATACAACCATTGCATGGGCTCTACCACAGATTCAGATTCCCAAGCTTGGTGACACAACCATGTCTTTAAGGCCTTATGAAAGGCCCACAGGGTTGGGAGCAATCTAATCTTTGTGTGTGTGTGTGTGGGGGGAGATGATGTTCCAAAAGGAGGCCACCATGACAGGAGGCCCTGCCAGATTGCATTCCCTAATAGATTGGAACATGCCTCTCGCGCCAGACCTAATGGGGTGGATAAACAGAATCAGGGAAAGGTGGTCCCTCAGATAACCCGGCCCCATGCCATGAGGTAATTATCAGCACCTTGAATTGAACCTGGAAGCATGCTAGCAACTTGCAGAGCACCTTGAATTGAACCTGGAAGCATGCTAGCAACTTGCAGAGCAGAGGTATAGCATGTGCTGATCAAGGAGTGACATAATTGCCTGTGCTGCTGCATTCTGTACCACATGCAGCTTCCAGATGCTTTTCAAGGGCTGCCCCACGTAAACTGCATTGCAGTAATCCATTTGGAAGGTGACCAATGCATTGGTGACTATGAACAGACCCTCCCAGTTCAGAAACAGGCACAACTGGCACACAACATGAAGTTGTGCAAAGGGTGGCTACCACAGACACCTGTTCCTTCAAAAGGAGCCGTAAATCCAGGAGGTCCCCCAAACTGCGCACTGATTCTGTTTGAGGTAGTGCAATCCCATTCAGAACTAAAGACGGAAAATCCCCAGAACCAGGAGGCCCTAATACCCCAAACCACTCGGTCTTCCTAGGGTTGAGCTGAAGCCTGCTGTTTCCCATCCAAACCCACACAGCCTCTGGACACCGAGACAGGATTTCCATGGTGTCACAGGGGCAGCCAGATATGGAGACGCAATACTGATGATGCCTCACCCCATGCCTCTGCATGACCTTATACAGTGGCTTCATGTAGATGTTAAACAGGAGCTGAGAGAGTATTGAGCCCTCCAGAACCCCGCAAAACAGTAGCTGCTAGCTGGATCTCTTGCCTCGCCCCATCAACACTACTGGAGCTGGCCTGGAGGAAGGAAGAGAACCAGCACAATACAGTGCCACCCACTCCCAACCCCCAAAGCCAGTCCAGAAGAATACCATTAGCGATGTTATCAAACACCTGCAAGAGGTCAAGGAGAGCAAGGATGGGTGCACCACTTCCATCCTGCTCCCGCCAAATGTTATCTACAAGTGCTGTGAACACCATTTCAGGCCCATACCCAGCTATGACCCGAAAGCAGTCAACTGCTTTCCCATCAAAACAACAGAAATAAGATTTCACAATGTAACTCACATTTAGTATTCCTATTATTCATTTTAGGCCATACATGTCACTTTAGAAAAAGGAAAACTTCTTGTTCCTAGTAGGTAATAGTTAACAGATGCACCTGAGAATCTTTTATTTATATTTAATTCCTGATCTATTAAATACTGAAGTTTAGTTTAAGTGAACTGCTGACATTAATGATACATGAAGTATTTTAATCTAGGAAGTTTAACCTAGGCTTTTTTTCCCTGTACTAAATGAAGTAAGATAGCATTGGGTTCTGAAAGAGTCAATTATACAGACAAACAAAGCCTTCCATAATTATATAGAATTATATAGAATTCTGGGAGTTGAAGTCCACATATCTTCAAGTGGCCAAGGTTGAGAAACACTGATATAGAGAATGTTGTCCTCAGTTTTTTACATCTGTTACATTCTGAAGCAAGTTCTACTGTAATCAGTGAGAATTACCG